GTGAACACAAATTAGTCAACATAAATCAACTAAATGACGAAAAATTAGATGTCTATTTACTTGTGACGACTCAGTGTATATATATTTATTATATTTACCTTTCAGCCATGCCTGGCTAACATTACTGAAGTTACAATGATGTGGTGCAGATGCACTCATGTTACCATATCCAATAATATAAAACTGACCTTTAATCTTTACAAAGTGACCCATCTTGGCTGTATTTTGTAAAATACAGTCCATTTCAATTATTATACATTATATATGTATATAGATTATTGGTATTTGGAAATAAGTTCTTAAACTTATGTTTCTTAAAACATAGAACAGTAAATAAATAAGTACAGCAAACACACAGTTAAATTACCAAAAAATCATAAATTACTATATCCAATAACATCTTCGGATGCTATCTATTTCTTTCGAACCAAGATTTTAAGGAGTTAGGTTGTGACTTTAGTTTGCTCAAAATTTAATATTTTTGAGACTGAAATATAGCTTAGTTATTTAGCTTGATAAATTATAGAGTTCCACTATAAGATTATATTTTCAAGTTTACAACTAGCTTTGAAAATATAACCTTTGCATTTTGATCCAACTTGTTTCTGTACTATTTTGACCATCCTTATTCCCCCTTTTTAAAATAATATTCTATTATCTTGTTTCTTAAGTTTAATTCCATTTATGTAGAATAAATTTTAAGCTACATACGTGCATATTCATTCAGTTGAATATTACATGTTTTTCAACAGTTTACTGCTACATTCGTTTTTTTTTTTCCACCCAACCATTATTCACTGAGTCAGGTAGTTTTATGCCTGAGGTTTTGGGTAAAGTTATAATTTTCCTACATTAAAATGTATTTCCAATAGGTATTTCCCCCCTCACATAAATAGCTATTCTCGTTCAGTGCTGCCCTCTATATACAAAAAAAAATGTTATACATGCCACAAGCCTTTAATCTCCCACTCAATTGGAATTGAATAATTCCAATGCATCTCTCATGCAACAACCCTCACCAATAAGAGTGCAACATACTCTCTTGATGCATGTGATTCCCTCTATTTAATTCTACCAAACTATCACTTCAAGTTATTGCAGAAAATAGTAGTAGCAGTTTTCAGTGGGGAGCGAGTGGAGATATGTACCTATCAGAAATACATTTTCAGTATAGGAAAGTTATAACTACCGATACAGCACATTACCTCCTCTCACATACATAGCTAGATTTCCACACTGAATAGGTGAAGAGACTGGAGCGAGGGAAAGAAAGAAGCATCCTTCGAAAATGTCATAAGGACATTCCCTAAGATGAAACAGATTCTAAGACCTGATTTGGGGAACTGCACCATTTCTGAACCAGGAAGATGTTGCATATATGGGCTGAAAAATGGAGGAGCACATCCAAGTGGGAGAGAACTAAGGCAGGATAGGGATCTGAACCATACGATATTTATGAAACTCAATTCCAAAAAATATAAAAGTGGGTAAGAATAAAAGGATGTCTCTCTAGATGTAGAGTGACTAGGGTGTGACGGACCCTACACAGCAAGTCAACTACATCCAAAACCCATGCCACTGCGAACCGACATCCATGTGAGGGTAGGATGAGGATCATATTGTCAGTAAGTCAACTACAATCCAAAACCCAGCCATCTGGTGGAGGTATGAAAGAGGGTCATGCAGTCTTCACCTAACGTTCACGAGACTGCAGGAAACCTAGTATCTCTTCCAATCCATGATCAGGGCATATGATAATATAAAAAATTGGTAAATCAATCTGGGAACCCAACAACCAGCATCGAAAAGAAATAATGGAAGGTGGTAAGGACTCTCAAACTCCACTAGAAGGAAAAAGGGAGAAAAGCGTGGTGGAGAGTTCGGAGGAACGACAACACCCGAGACAGTGCAATGGGTGACAAAAAAAAAAACTATTTTGAAAAGAAGACCATACTAATTTATTCAATACAAGGCATGGCAGGGATGAGCAGCTATTCCCTTCATCTTTACCCATGTAGTTCATGGGCCAGTACAATCCAGGACGAGCAAACTTTTGAAGCAAATT